TTGCTGGCTTTTACGATTTCCCGGGATGGGCAGCTGTCAAACAGCGGCCATCAGCACTGATGCAGCCACTGGAAGTAGTGCAGTTTTTTGTAGCATTGCTGGGGTTATTGCAGGAAGCTGCAGTTACTTAAAATATTTTGCAAAGTTTTTGGACATAGTTCCCAGTGCTCCGATGACAATGGGTATCACTGTTACATGTTTCATCCATCCATCATGTAATTTCGATGGCCAGATCACAATATTTCGTAATTTTTTCCAGTTCTTTTTCTTCAACTCTGGCATCTCCTGGCACAGCGATATCAATCACCTGTATGCGTCGGTTCTCTACAACTGCAATATCTGCCGTGTTCTGTTCCAAATGGCGATCTGTCTGTATTCGAAAGTCCCACAAGATCTTCACCTTCTCATTCTCAACAACTTTTTCCACCCTATGTTCCCACAACTTTTCGGACACAGGCAAGTCATATTTTTTACACAATGCCCAGTGGATTAATTTAGCAACTCGGTCATGTCTAGCTTTATACTCAGTTTGTGCAATTTTGCTGCACTCACATATTAGATGTGAAACAGTTTCAACCTTGTCATTGCAAAGACGGCAATTTGGATTGTCAGTGGATTTTTGTATCTTCGCTTTCATGGCATTAGTTTGTAGTGCTTGTTCTTGAGCAGCCAGTATTAAGCCTTCCATTTCTTCCTTGATAGTTTTCATCTTAAGCCATGCCCATGTCATGTTGTTATCACATTTTCCTTCAATGTTTTTCAAGTGCTGTCCATGCAAAGCTTTGGTTTTCCATCTATTTAATCTGTCATCCAGCCGTTTTCTCTTATTTTCTGTCTTTGTTTCTATTATTTTTATAATGCTCTCTGTTTTCACAGCCTGCAGCAGTTTTTCCATACCTTGATTCACAAAGTCATTCAAATTTATTATTATTATTATTAGTTATTATTTGGTATCTATCTATCTATCTATCTATCTATCTATCTATCTATCTATCTATCTATCCATCTATCCATCTATCTATCTTCTATTTACAGTATCTATCTATTAACTTTGATGACCACCCACGACTGTGGTACTATTCATAGGGTAAAAGGTAAATGATCAAAATAAAGGGCAATCGTGACTTTTGAAAAAGAAATAAATCTAAAGGAGAGCTCCCTGAAATAAAGGTCATTGTTTTATAGGTGATGCATGAACATTCTGACATATAGTTGAAATCTCTACTACCTACAGAAGCAGAAGCTCTTTTTTGTGTCTTTATGCTCCATGTTTTCTCCAACAGACTTAAAGCAACACATAATAATTTCCCTCTTTTCTTTTATCCTCACAATAATCTTGCCATGTAGCCTTCAGACTCTGTGATTCTGATGACTGAGATTGACTGTGACTCTGTCACTGACAGTCAGTCTGACTACACTCTCATTAGATCCAGTCCAATATGCTTGTTTTTCCATGCTCATTTCATCTACCAAAATTGCAAAATCAAGAGTGATAAACTTATGGTCAATGAAATCTCCCAAAGACTACTGTTCTTTTCATTATGAAGAGGAATTTTACAACTAGAGTTGAGCAAAGACACCTCTGTATTATTTTTCAGACAGTCCTTGTTTGATTTGAGATTTCATAATTATACAATGTACAATCATATAATCCAACAATAGAAGAGAATATTTGTAACTAAGATTTGAACTGTGTAGTCCTTGATGCTCTCTGAGCTTGGTTGTTTTTGCAGATGTTTCATTATCAAATAGCTGACATCATCATCAATGCGCTGTGATGGGAATGAGCTACAATATATTGATCCTTGATGAAATAAGTTGAATTGTATTTATTAAGGAGAACTACCAAGTCTTAGAGCTGATCCAAGATAGTTTGTACAAGCATAAAGATAACAACCATCCCCCGTAAATAAAAGACAGTAAAATAATATATTGATTTCAGAGCAATTCCTGAAAATAATTCACCGTAATGTCCATATTGCTTTCTTGGCAACAATATAGAAATTATTTGTCTTTGGTTTTTCTTCCAGAATATTTTTTTCAACTTTCCAATTTGTCCATAATGCTGGGATTTTCTGGTGTTCTGTCATATAAATATTAACCAAGTCTGAACCTGCTTAACTTTTTTGTGATTACTATGGTCAAATAAGGACTATAGTTTTCCTACAGTACACCGCTGCTGCCCCCTTCCAGATCAGAATCTTATGATCTTCACTTACAACAAAAGACAGATTAAGGACTAATGGACTTTATGTTTTCTTCTTCCCTAAATAGTGGACATAATCTACTTTGAAAACATCTGATGAAATGACCTGTAGCTTGCAAAATGTATGCCTTTTAATAATATTCATGAATGAAAAAAAATATGCTAGCAGATTCCTGGTGGTTTTTTTTTTTTTCCATTATAGAGTCTGCCTTAGTTTTTATCAAACCTATCACTCATTCATGTGTTCAGCCTAGATGGAGGCTGACCATGAGATGCAAATCTTGTGGCTGAAACATCTTGTCAAATCTTTAAGCTTTTGGCATCTTCCGTAACCTGTGCTTTTCATAATGTTTTGCCTGATGAATTCGGAGAAAGTAAAAAAGTTTCATACTATTTTGTGCCTCTTTAATTGTTCCCTGCTAAATGGTAAATGGTATTATGATTTATTACAACTGGATGCACAGTCAGCTAGATATTTAGACTAGATTAGCATTATTTTTCTGGTCTTCCTATTCAGGGCTTTTAGTTCTACTTGAGTGCAGCCCACTATAGTATCTATGTATTGCCAAGCTGTGTATCTAATGACTGGAATTGTCCAGGTATTAATTGCCTTGGTTGTATTTCTTCTACTGAATTTGGACTTTAAAATCTTATTCACTCTCGTGATGCATTCAGTACTAACATTCCTCTTGACTTCTTTGCGCTTGATGTTTTCAGCTTGAAAGATGCCCACATATTTGTAGTGATCTTCATCCAAGCAGTATATGAGTTTAAGTGCTAATGCTATTGCCCTTCTTCTTCTTCTTCTTCTTCTTCTTCTTCTTCTTCTTCTTCTTCTTCTTCTTCTTCTTCTTCTTCTTCTTCTTCTTCTTCTTCTTCTTCTTCTTCTTCTTCTTCTTCTTCTTCTTCTTCTTCTTCTTCTTCTTCTTCTTCTTCTTCTTCTTCTTCTTCTTCTTCTTCTTCTTCTTCTTCTTCTTCCATTGTTTTGATGATTTCCCTTGGCTTTCCCAGGTGGCTTATCACCTCCTCATTTCTGATCTTGTCAACCCAGCTTATAAGTAACAGCTGCCTATAAATCAACATTTCAAATGATTCTAGTCTCTTCAGGTGGCCTTCTGTCAGAGACCAATTCTCTACTCCATAGAGCAGGATAGAAAAAAAAATATAACATCTGACAAGCCTGTCTTTCAATCTTAGGCTTATGTCGTGACTGCAGAAGACCTTTTTCATTTTGAAAAATGCTGTTCGAGCTTTCTCTATCCTTGTCTTTACTTCAGTGATCATGTCCCAGCTTTCATGTAAATTAGAACCGAGGTGTGTGATCCTTTCAACTTTTTCTAATGGTATTCCTTCTGAATTTATTTATTAACGGGTTGTTTGCTGATGACCATGATCTTGGTTTTTGAGGTGTTAAGCTTCAAGCTTTGACTCTGTTGATGAGGCAAGCAGAACTGTATCGTCAGCATATCTTAAATTGCTGAACCAAACACCGTTTACTTTGATGCCAGCATCGATGTTCTCTAGTGCCTCGTAGAAGATTGACTCAGAGTAGATATTAAATAACAGTGGAGACAGAATATATCCCTGTCTGATCCCTCTTCATATTTCTGCATCATCTGAGTATTTTTGGCCTAGTCTCACATTTGCTACCTGATGCCAATATAGATTCTTTATGATTTGGATGTCTTTGTCATCTAGTCCCCCTTGTTTCAGGATTTCTTATAGTTTGCTGTTTCTTATTTTATCAAATGCTTTTTCAAAATCAATGAAGCACATATAAACACTGTGATTGACATCTCTACAACGCTGTACAATAATTTGAATGCTGAATAGCGCATCTCATGTACCAAGATTGTTTCTGAAACCAAATTGTGTTTTACCTAGACACTCCTCAATTTTGTTTTATATTCTTGTGTGAATTATTCTTAGGAATATTTTCAGAGCATGACTCATTAAGCTTATTGTTCTGTATTTGGTACACTTCTTTGCCTTTATTTTTTGGAGATTGTCACAAAGGTTGATTTTAGCCAATCATTTGGTATCTTTCCTGTTTCATATATTCAACTGAAGAGCTACAGTAAAAAAATTCTTCCTATTGTCTTCCAGCAATTTTAAAATTTCTACTGGGATATCATCTGGTCCTGTGGCTTTTCTTGTTTTTGCTATTTTTATTGCATGTTCAATCTCCTCCATAGTGATGTTTGGTCCAGTTGTTATACTTCCCATATCTATATCATCCCTAGTGTCCTCAAAAAGTTCTTCAATATATTCCTTCCATCTTTTTAGTTTTTCGTCCTCATCTAAGATAATTAAAAAACCCTCTTTCCTCAGTGCCAGTGAATAGCCAACATCTTCTATTGCATTTTAGCACAGCCATTCATGGCATCTGCTGACTGAGGCAGCTACCTTACTTTGCCTGATAATTCAGCTGTTCAGGTTCTACATCTGTCCCCGATATTATTATTAGAGAACTGTCTGGCCTTGTTATGGGAATAAACAGGTGGGAAAAATGCAGTTGAATTTGTGTTTCAGTTCAGCCAAGAATATCCATCCTTGATACATTCTTAAATCATAGGACTTGGGAAATAAATAGCTCCTTTGCACAGACTCTCAGATGGAATTGTTTTGGCTCTAAGAAATAAATATCTGCATATTTGAGTCAGAAAATAAAATGGTATGAACAATGGAAGATTTTGGAAACCTGGCTCCATTATAACTCTTCTCTGAGCAAAGTTCAGTGAGAATTTATAATTTACCAATCAGGGTAGGGAGGTCTGCCCTCTATCGTTGCTGTCTCTACTTGATAAGTGTTGCCTTATCTGTTCAAAGTTCTAACTCCAGAGGCTTTAATTCTTTCCCTGGTGAGTTAGTTGTCCAACTGCTGGGCTAGAGTGTGAAACTAACCTAAGAAACTCTCAGAGCCATCATGGAAATGAACACTGGAGGCATGAGGCAAAGAAGCTCTCGGGAGCAGACCAGGGGAGAAGAGGAAACACAATTACTCAATGGTAAGGAGGCATTTCAGGGAACGGATGATATATTTTGTTGCACAAATGGAAGGAAATCTTTGCTACAGATAAATTATCTGGGGATTTTCAATTGGTCTTGGAATTAGGCAGTACTATGCAGAGATTAGCATTTTGGGAGCTGCAGCAAAAAGCTTTATATTACTTTACTAGAGAGATAAGTGGTGTCCCCCAAATGCTTTGGAGTTCAATCCCAAGAAGCTCCTACCATTCTGAACAACTGTGAAAAGACTGCAGAACTTGTGTAAAAGGAATAGTGTATGTTGTATGCATTCTCCTTAATACAAATATTCACAAAGTAATTGTAGGGATGGGAAGGATTTTGGAATAGGAGATGATCAAATGTACGTTAAAGAAAGAGGGAAATAGGGGGAAGTTGTTTGAATGGATTCTACAGAAAGGATGGCAGATGCAAACTTTAATCATTTGCAGATGTGATGGACTGTAGTAAGGAGCTGGATTCACAGAAGGGAGGGGTGCATTCACAAAGGAGTAAGGAGATAGTTCTATCCAGATGTTATGTGTGAGAGAAGAGGCTGAAGACAGCCCCTCACTAATAGTGTATTGTAGATGCAGACAATATAGTCTTCAGTCTGGCAAGATTCTCTTTCTATAGGTCTGAAACAATAAAGAACTCAGCTGAGAAGAATTACTGCACGTCATTCTTGGTTTGGGGCCTGCTAGCAAGGAGGCAAATATCAGATAATGGTTGATTCACACACATCAATAAGAAATAACATGAAAAAGGGCCGATGCGGCTGCCATGGACATCTGGAAGGAGAGCTCCATCTTCCACATCCAGTTTTGCTTTGCTGGGAGACCCTGTAAAGGGTCAAAAGTCGTCCTGTAGGGGCAACCAGCAAGGAGGGGATCCCCACTTGATTGTGGGAGGGCAGTAGCCCTTCCACTTGATCTGGGGCAGCCCTCCAAACTGGCAGACAAAAGATCGGCCATAGCAATATGGCTCGTCACTAGGCTGCAGACAGCCAAAGTCACACTTACCACCAGGCAATTATGAAGCAGCGCAGATGAGACTGGGTGAGATTTACCTCTCTTAAATCCTAACTATCTTTTCTACCTGCATAAGCTGCTTAAAGTACTTTTCTCCCTGTGGAGGGGGAAGGGAGATTTTATCTCTCCCTCTAGAAACAGTGGCGACTGACTATCCAGGGGAATTCAAAACGTTGCAAGAATAACTTGATCCTAACTGGAATTCTAGTTTTTAAAGTTTGTGTACTAAAAGATTTTCTATTTTTACTGAGGATCTGAGTTTTTACTTACAAAAAAGAAGCAAAACTGAAAAGATTATAAAAACTTTGGATTTAAAAGAAAATTTTAAATGTTAGGGGCGACATCTTGTGGCTAAACCTGATACTACAATTTGTTATTGCTTAAAAGAGACTTGGCCAGTAGCCCAGACAATAGATAAGATTTATGTAAGCTTGAGATCAGCTGTGAGAAGCCCAGCTGTGTTCCATATTCAGTGACAAATATTTTTTTTGTATTCTCTGATTGTAAAGCTTTTAACCTAATACACTACTAAGAGAATGTGGATGAAGATCAGGAACAGATTCTCTCTATGCTGAAAGCAATTCATCAAACTATTCTTACAGCTATTGATGAAATAAGAGGTTATAGAAAAGAACAATATGTCAATCCAGATATACGAACTCAAAATTTTGATTACAACTAAAAAATTAACTACACAGAATATAACAGAAAAAATGGAACAATTAAATATTATGACAGAAGATTCAACTGATCAACAAATACAGTCAATGGAAAACCCAGAAAAGGGACTGATAATATGGAAAAATGAAAAGACTTTCTACATAAATCAGAAGGAACCTGAGGATCAAGAAGAACAGACTGAAGAGAAGATAAACAGTTCAGGAAAAGTACGTAGAGATGGAAAAATAGAGAGATGATTTGTTAGTCCTCTCAAAAAAATGGTGACCGGATGGTTTTTTCTACATGAAACAATCTACATAACAACACAGGGAGATTTGTTTGATGAGTCAACAGTACGGACATGGAAGATGATTTGACAAAGAAAGAAAGCCAGAATAAGACCAAAGAAAATTGGGGTTTTTGACTCATTTGTGAGAATGAAAATAGAATATACTCAAATAGATAAGATGTGTACTTTGAATACTAGATATTGTTATGAGTTGAGAAAAGAAAACTTTGGTAATTTAAAACTTAGGAGTATAAATATTAACAGTTAAATTTGAACATTGATTTTGGTCACTATATTTAAGATATTTGGAAATTACTAGAAAATAAGAATATTATATTATATTATTAATTAGTTGATGTAAGATGGTGAGAACTCAAATAGATGTGTATCCTGAACATTAGATTTTGTGATGAATTGTGATAAAGGGAATTGGGGCTATTTAAAACTTGGAAATTCTAAATATTAAATGTTAAATTTAAATATTAATGGAAAACTAAAAATTGGGAAAAATTAACCAGAACATTGATTGTCTAAAAAGACTGAATGTTAAAACAACTAGGAGAAGGTGAGAATTATAGAGAAAGTAAAATATAAAGGTAGTGATGTTTATCAACAGAACTTGATTAAAAAGTGTTTTTTAGATTTTTATACAAAATTATATGCTAGTGATAATATACAGGTTTTAGATGTAGAGAAGTATTTACAATCAGTACACTTTCCTAAACTTTCTAATGAACAACAAAACGTTATGAATTGTTTAATTACTTCAGAGGAAATTGGTTTTGCTATTAAACAGTTAAAGATTGGAAAGGCTCCTGGTACAGATGGATTAACGGCTAAGTATTATAAAATGTTATTTCAAGAAATGATAGAGCCATTAAAAGAACTTTTTAATAGTATTTTGTTGGGAGCTTCGATCCCTCCTTCATGGAGAAGGGCTTTTATATCATTGATTCTGAAGGAGGATCAAGATCTCACTGAACCTAAAAATTATAGACCTATATCTCTTTTAAATGTAGATTATAAGATTTGGCAAATAGATTAATGCAGGTTATGAAGGATTTGATTCATAGCGATCAGTCAGGATTTATAACAGGAAGATATATGAAATATAACACAAGACAAATTATCAATTTAATTGAGTATTTGGATAAGAATAATCAGATTCCTGTGGCTTTTATATTTTTGGATGCTGAGAAAGCTTTTGATCAATTAGATTGGCAATTTTTATTCTCATTAATAGAGAAAATGAATTTTGGAGACAAGTTCTTACAAGCTCTCAAGGCTATATTTCAGCAGCAGTCTGCTCAAATTATTATTAATGGGGGATTGACAGAGACTTTTAATATTGAAAAGGGTACAAGACAAGGTTGTCCATTATCTCCTTTGTTATTTGTTTTAACAATGGAGATTTTGTTAATTCAGATTCGAGAGTCTACATTACTTAAGGGAATAAAAATAAATAAGAATGAATATAGATTGAGAGCTTTTGCAGATGATTTGGTAACTTTACAACAACCAACTCAATTGGTTAGTCATTTATTGGGATTTATAACTCAATATGGGAAAGTTTCTGGTTTTAAAGTAAATAACAATAAGACTAAGATATTATCTAAGAATATGATTGAGAAGGAAAATGAAACTTTAGTTAGACTTACAGGTTTTCAGATAGTGAAGAAGGTTAAATATTTGGGAATATTTATAACTGCTTCTAATGGAAAATTATATAAGAATAATTATGAAGTATTATGGACAAAAGTACAAAAGGATTTAAATGATTGGAAAAAATTGCAATTGTCGTTGTTGGGGAGAATTTCAGCTGTTAAAATGAATGTTCTACCAAAGTTTCTTTTTTTGTTTCAAATGATACCCATTTTAAAAAAAGATGCTAATTTGGATGAGTGGCAGAAGGGTATCAATAAATTTATATGGGCTGGGAAGAAACCAAGGGTGAAGTTTAAGATTTTGCAAGATGCTCGAGAAAGAGGAGGGCTTAAAGCACCTAATTTGAAATTATATTATGATGCAGCCGCATTAACTTTGATAAGTGATTGGCTTAATTTAACAAACAAAAATATTCTCTTTCTTGAAGGGTGGGATTTATTATAAGGTTGGCATGCATATTTAATTTTTAATAAGAAAGTTGATCGGGCTTTTAAATCGCACATTTTAAGAAGTGCCCTACTTCGAGTCTGGAAGAAGTATTATTATAGGTATTTGGCTCTGAGAAATGGGGGGGTAGGGGGGTGGGGATGGGTGGGTTATTTTGTTAATTATTAATAAAAACTTTTAAATAAAAAAACCAACTAGGATACGTATAAACTAAAAATTATTATAAATGTAAGATAGTTATTTTTTATTTAATCGATATAAGAATTGTATTAATTTAAATATGAGACAGTAAATACCAAGGGGAAAAGAGAGGAAACATTTAATGTAATAGTTTGAGATCTGTACTAAAGATATTTGTATGTTATTGAATTATTGACCAACTCAGCCACCACGTTGCTTTTCAAATATTAAATGTAAAACTAGAAAATCAATAAAATTTTCTTTTTAAAAAAAGAAATAACATGGAAAATTATGACAAAAAAGATCAAGAGTTATGCATGAAGAGCCTTTAATTTTATTTTTGTCCGGAAATGCTAACGTTCAGCCTTCAAAGACAAAACAATTCAAGCATTTAGTTGAAAAGAAACAAGAAACATCTTAATTAGTTAACCAGTTACAAAGAAAACATTCAAAAAATTTCATCAGCTCCTTTTTAATTGCTTTTAGAACCTGTTTATTGGTGTATATTTTCTTGGCTCCTTTCTAAAAAGGTCACTCAGAAATGACACATTTATATGCTTTACATTGCATTTGAGAGAAATCGGGTAAGATATTTCCCAGTCAGCAAATACAGTTTCCTATCATTCGTCTTTGATTTAAGTTAGCTTTTTGCTCCAAGTGCCTTTTTATGTTAGTTTATATTTTCAGGTAGTCCTCAATGTACGACCACAATTGAACCCAAACTTTCCATTGCTAAGCGAAACAGTTGTTAAGTGAGTTTTGCCCCATTTTATGACTTTTTTTGCCAGTGCTAAGTGAATCACTGCAGCTGTTAGTAACACTGTTGTTTAGCGAATCTGGCTTCCCCATTGACTTTGCTCGTAAGAGGGTCACAAAAGAGGATCTCATGACCCTGATACACCGTCATAAATACATGTCAGTTGCTAAACATCCGAATTTTAATCCTGTGACCATGGGGATGCTGAAATGGTCGTAAGTGTGAAAAACGGTCACAGGTCACATTTTATTCAGTCCTTCAGTAACTTCAAACAGTCACTAAATGAATGGTTGTAAGTTGAAGACTACCTGTACTAAACTCTAATAAATCTATCAGAGGTACTGGCAATATTCCTTCCTTCATATCTACTAGAATGATATGATAATGTTATAGGCTGTTTTACTTGGTAATTAAGCAAAATAGAATTCTAGGATAAACAGCCTTCCAAATCTGCTAGTTAAAAGATGTTACTATAGTCTGGAAATCTGCTTTAAGAAAAGGCTACAAAACTGAATAAAACATGCCATGTAAAATATTATAGAAGCCTGGTGCAGATAGTTTTGGACCTGCTTTATCCATCCCAAAGGAAAGAGAATGCGAAGAGTGGAGAAACAAGTGCTTGAAATTCAGAGGTGGTAATTTATAAACAAAAAAAAAAACCTCTCTACAATGAGAAGATTTCTAATCCAAACAATAAACTGACCTCCTCCATTCGCCCAATGTCAAATCATGTTTTTAAAGTGAAGCTGTTTCTAATTCTCTAGGAGAGGATGAACACCTTGAGAATGTCATTGCCCACAGCCAATGGAAGAGACATCTGGAGGTAATAATAGATATTATAATAGGTAATAATAAAAGCCAATGCTAGCACTGGAGAAACAAATATTCCATCCTAAATGATGAATAATCAAGGATGATTAAAATGGCTGATTCTGTGTCTCCAGGGCCACATGATCTCTATCCCTGTCATAGAGGAGCAGGTCCTGGAGATCAACCTGGCCTTCTGGGCAAGGGAGCTTCAGTAATAGATCAAAGAGGGAAACAACTGGTTAAGTTTAGAACCAGCTCATCTGGGCAATCTGATAGGTTCAGGCAGTAACTCAGTTGAGAGACAGCTGCTGGTTGTTCTCTTGGGTCTTGGTTTTTCAAAGTTTCCAGCCTTCTCCAAGAATAGTTCAGGGTGTATAGGGAGGGTTTAGCAATGGCATAGTAGAAATGGGGCTTTCCCTAAAGCTAATGCCTCAAGATGTATAAAATCTCCTTGGCTTTCTCACTCATTGCCTTGGCGGCTATTCGGGTGGGAGGAGACCACTTCACCAATGCAGCAATGCTGTTTCAATCATGGGCTGGAGTATGATAAAGAGAGAAAAAAAATGTTGTCTAAATGCAGCATGGGGAAGGCTTTACATCAGGCATTGGAAGAAGAGAGCATTGGAAGCAGCAAGTGCGTTGGACACTCTGGAATAGGAGACCATATGAAACAATGTCATACAACATATTCCAGATTATGCCAATTTAGCCATAAGGACAAGAAAAAAAAACCTGGGAGATATACAGATATACCAAGCCAACCAACGTGCCCATCACCTAAATACATTCTAGGAACCTATCATGACAGACCTGGGCATCATTAAATTCTCTCTGTTTTGTTGATAGGTAATGAAGGTGAATGTCCTGGAACAGGTACACAATCAGCTGAGTGATCTCTTGGACAAGACCTTGGAAGAAGCAGCTCATTCCATACCCTGGTATTTGAGGGTGGCCCCAGCAAAGAAGCAAAGCAGGTGAAAGAGGTTCCTCGCAATTGATTTTAGAACAGGGATGGGAAACATAGAGTCATCCAGAAATTTTATTGGCCTATAACAGGGGAGTCAAACTGCCGGCCGGATGTGTCATCCTAAAACTGCACCCACCCCATTGCCGGCAATGGAAAAAAAGTTGCGATACGTCGCGACATGTCATGTGATGTTGCAAGTTTGACACCTGGCCTATAATTTCCAGTAGGTCCTGCTGGTATAGCCATTAAGATGGATGCTGGGAGTTGTAGTTCCAGACCATTTAGAGGAATAAATGACTAAACCTTGATTTTATCACAGAACATACCACGCAGTGTGAATGGCAATGCTTTTATTTAGCTGGGCCAGAAACCTCTCTATATGTTTCTTTATCTTTGCAGGCAGCAGGTAGTTTTCAGCTAATTATATGACAATAATTGCCAATAAAAACAAAACTACCTTTGAGAAGCCAATCCTCACTCCAAGGGCTTGGCTAAACAAACAAGTCTTAAGTAAATTTTCCAGAAGATTGTCAAAGAAAAAGTGGACAAAAGACTGTCCAATGCTTTAGAGGAAAAAGTAGCAGCCTTCCTTAAAAAAAAAAGTTGACAAAAGGAAATATATTCTGCTCTTAAGAACAAGCAGTCTACATTATACAAATACATGAAAAGTTACCATTAGGATTTCAATCATTCCTTTAGTACTTCTGGCCCTGCTTCTGATTGCTAATAAATCTAAGTTCCATAAACAATTTAAAAACAAATAAAATGGGAAAGGGAAAGAAAATTCAGGTACCAGTTCCTAAAGTTATGTAGTGGTTATAGTACAGAAAAAAATAAATGGCAAGGCTTCAAATACACAAGTGATGGCTGGTTCTGAAGAAGGTAATACGATGCACAAATTCGGTGAGGTTGTTGCTCTTATTTTGCTATTCCCACCTCCATGTTTGGCAATGTAGTTAAGACACTGGGTTTGTTGGCTGAAAAACCAGCAGCTCAAGTTCAAGACCCAACGTCACATGAGATAAATAGGTACCATTTTGGTGGGAAGGTAACAGCCCTCCATGCTGTCATTCTGGCCACATGACCGCACAAATGTCTTTGGACAGCACTGGCTCAATGGCCTTGAAATGGAGATCAATCGGCAATGACTAGTGGAGTAATAATTGCAGGGACTCTTTTATCTTTACCCTCCCCCCCTTGCTCAGAGATGAGAAGGGTTTTGAGAAATATATTAAATATTACCTGCTTTGAAATCTTATTTTGCAGAGAGAAAGGTCAGCTACTGAAGAAGAAAGTCTTTGTCCCTCAACAGTCATTGTATGAGTAAGTATATCTGGCCGTGGTATGAATGAGACTTAGTCAGAGGGAAATGGGCAAAGTAGCCAGATCTCTAAGGCCTCAGGTTCCAAAGGTGGCCTTGGGCAAATAACTGATATTCCACTGTTGATGTAGAACAAGAGCTGGAAACAGCCCAATAAGGACTGAGCATGCTCCATAGCCACACAATGCTGAGACTGGTGGGTGCAGGGAGAGTGTACAAACAATAGATACTGTGGATTGGAAACGGAATGAAGTATGTTTTAAAGCAGGACTTTTCAACCAGTGGTACGAGTACCGCCTGTGGTACATTGGTACCTGGCAGGTGGTACGCGACCATCCTAGAAAAATGGTAGCAGGGGAAGGGAATTAGCTGAACCAGTGGCAGCACTGCACAAGCCTGAGCAAGAGATGTCTGGAGCTGCAGGGCTGTCAGGACTCAGTGGAAGCACCAGGATCAGTGCCAGGCTCCAGCTGTCCAATGATCTTCAGCTGCCCATTTCCCCCACCATCTATTGCTTAGTTGCTGGCAATTTGTCTTTCTTTTACAGCACGCTCATGGAAGTGGAAGATTTCTGCCCAATCCGACACATATTTGTGGCCATGCTCTGTATCTTTGTGCTCAAACAAATCATTGGGGATTCCATCGACAAAGGACGGTATGATCCAGAAGAGAGGGCAGGCGGTGGTGGAAGGGCTATGATGTATACTAATTCTGGAGTGAATATGGGGATAGGATGCTATTTGTTTTGTGTGAAGGGACACAGTAATTACCTTAAGAACTTATTTACCTAATCTTTTCAACTTAGATTCCATCAACGGTTTGGCAACCTTCTGCGAGTCCCCTGACCCTGCTGCTTCTTCTCCCAGGTGTCACTGTTCATCTACTTGCTACAAAGGAAATGGAATTTGTTCTTCTCCTTGTCTTTCGACTCTTGTTGAGCAGTACCCCTTGGGACTCTCCTATGCCTGCCTAGAAATTAAGTCTAACTGAGGAATGCCCCTTTGCTAGGCACCCAAACACCGTTCTCTATCCTAGTAGCCTGCTTACACAGTTCACTTCTTCTACCCTCATTCTGAATGAAACTTGTTACCTTTTGGATCTTTCTGTACCGGTGTTTGTGGCTGAACATATATGTTGTGTCACATAGTAGTAGTAGTAGTAGTAGTAGTAGTAGTAGTAGTAGTAGTAGAAGTAGTAGTAGAAGTAGTAGTAGTAAAGTTGGAAGGGACCTTGGAGGTCATCTAGTCCAACCCCCTGCTCAGGCAGGAAGCCCTATACCATTTCGGACATATGGCTGTCCAGTCTCCTCTTAAAAATTTCCAGTGTTGGAGCATTCACCACTTCTGGAGGCAGGTTGTTCCACTGGTTAATTGTTCTAACTGTCAGGAGGTTTCTCCTTACTTCTAGGTTGCTTCTCTCCTTGATTAGTTTCCATCCATTGCTTCTTGTCCTGCCTTCAGACATTTTGGAAAATAGCTTGACTCCCTCTTCTTTGTGGCAGCCCCTGAGATATTGGAACACTGCTATCATGTCCCCCCTCGTACTTTTCTTCATTAAACTAGACACACCTAATTCCAGCAACTGTTCCTTATATGTTTTAGCCTCCAGTTCCCTACTCATTTTTGTTGCTCTTCTCTGTACTCTTTCTAGAATCTCAACATCTTTTTTACATTGTGGTGACCAAAAGTGGATGCAGTATTCCAAGTGTGGCCTTACCAAGGCATTGTAAATTGGTATTAATACTTCACGTGATCTTGATTCTATCCCTCTGTTAATGCAGCCTAGCACTGTGTTGGCTTTGTTGGCAGCTGCAGCACACTGCTGGCTCATATTTAAGTGACTGTCAACTAGGACTCCGAGATCCCTCTCACAGTTACTACTATTGAGCAAGATACCCGTATACTATACCTGTACATTTGGTTTTTCTTGCCTAAATGTAGAACCTTATTTTTTTCACCATTGAATTTCATTTTGTTAGATAGCAGCACCCAGTGTTCTAGTCTGTCCAGATCCTCCTGTATCTTAAGACTGTCTTCTGGAGTGTTGGCTATTCCTGCCAGCCAGCTTGGTGTCATCTGCAAATTTGATGAGTTCCCCATCTATCCCCTCATCCAAATCATTGATGAAGATGTTGAAGAGCACTGGGCCCAGAACAGAGCCCTGGGGCACCCCACTATACACTTCCCTCCATGTAGATACGGTTCCATTGAGGACCACACGCTGAGTACGGCCGGTCAGCCAGCTATGAATCCATCTGGTGGTGATGCTGTCTAACCCACATTTTTCTATCTTATCAAGTAGTAGGTAATGATCTACTTTATCAAATGCCTTACTGAAGTCCAAGTAAATTATATCCACAGCATTCCTCTGGTCCACTAAATTTGTCACTTGGTTAAAGAATGCAATAAGATTTGTCTGGCATGATCTGTTTTTGACAAACCCGTGTTGGCTTTTAGTAATGACTTTGTTTGCCTGTAGGTGTTCGCTGATTCATTGTTTGATTATCTTTTCCAGAATCTTCCCAGGTATTGAAGTCAGGCTAATAGGTCTGTAATTTCCTGGATCCATTTTTTTCCTTTTTTGAAGATGGAAACTACATCAGCTCTTTTCCAGTCCTCTGGTAGGTCCCCAATACTCCAGGATCTTTGAAAAATATAGTTCAGTGGTTCTGAGATCACATCTGCCAGTTCCTTGAGAACCTTAGGGTGTAATCCATCTGGTCCTGGTGATTTGAACTCATCTAGGCTGGACAGGTGCTCACTTACCATTTTTTTTGCCTATCTTAACTTGTTTTTCTATTCTGTTTTTTATGGCACTGTTTTTGATAGGTTGGTCTGTTTTTTCCCTTTGTGTAAAGACAGAGGCAAAAACAAGTTAAATAGTTCTGCTTTCTCCCTGTTGCTTGTCACCTTCTTGCCACTTTCCCCCACTAACGGACCAATCATTTCCTTCACTTTTTTCTTGTTTTTTACATGTTGAAAGAAGCTTTTTTTGTTATTTTTGACTTTGGTCACAAGCCATAGTTCATTTTGAACCTTAGCTTTCCTCGCTTCATCTTTGCAGGCTCGGGCTATTTGCTGATATTCTGACTTAGTTATGTGTCCCTCTTTCCACTTTCTATACTTGTCCTTTTTATCTTTCAATTGATCAGAGAGTTATTTATGCAGCCATGCTGGTTTCTTTTGAGAGCTGTTATTTTTCCTCTTTGTTGGTATTGTGCTAGACTGGGCTTTTATTATCTCACTTTTCAAAATTTCCCAAGCTTCTTGAATTGTTTTCCTCATGAGGATTCTCATCCATGGAATCCTTCCCAAGCCCTCTCTAAGTTTCTTGAAATTAGCTCTCTTAAAGTCCAAGACTCTAGTTTGACTGTGTTCTATTGCTTGTGCTTCCATAATGTTGAGTTCCAATATTGCACGATCACTTCCTCCCAAGGTTCCTGTGGCTTCAACACCTTCTATTATTTCATCTGTGTTAGTGAAAATTAGATCCAAAATGGCTAATCCCCTAGTTCCCTTCTCTACTTTTTAGGAGACAAAGTTGTCTGCTAGGTTTGTCAGGAATGTTTGATCTTCCACTTGGTGCAGAGTTTGTCTCCCAGTTGATGTCAGGGTAGTTAAAGTCCCCCATTACTATTGTGATGTCATTCCTACATACCTTAGTTAGCTGACTAGCTAACTGGTATGCATCTGCCATTTGTTGACATGGTTTGTATATGTACTATATTCCCTTCCATTTGACCAGTGGTCAATCAATTGATTAATTGAACGATTGACTCTTAAAGAAAATCAGGATAAATTTACTATTAATATGGATTTTTGTAGTCCAGGTCTAGTAGCTATAAGAAAGGAAGTCATAAGGATCCAGGGTCACCAGGACCAAAGGTTTAGTCTTCCAAGCTTTTGGACTCATGCTGGAGCCCATCCTCAGGGAAATTTTCTCTCTCACCGGAACACGGCAGAGATGCCACACTAAGAGAATTCATAGCACCATTAGACCCTATATTCAACGGAGCAGAGATGGAAGAGCCAGAAAAACATGTCATGAGGCAAAAAATATTGGCAATGCTGGTCTCATACAAACCAAACAATATGCTCAGCCCAACAGAGTGACACACCTTGAAAGACATGGGAAAAAACACAAACACACATTCTGGTGAGAGAGAAGTTCCCTGAGGATGGGCGCCAGCATGTGTCTGAAACTTGAAAGACTAAATCTCTGGTCCCGGTGACCTACCCTAATTGGATCCTGTAACATTACCCTGGGACATGTATATTTGCCTTCATTCATGGGAAAACATAAGGTCTTTGATCCAGTCTCCATCTGCCTACTAAAAACTGGGTTCTGGCCATTATTCCAGCCCCTAGCCCATTTCTTGAAACGAGGAGGCTCCCTCAAATTCAACATATTTTGCTATCGTTTTCTGTTCAGTGTAGTGTTTATCTGTTTTTAATGTTGTATGCTGCCAAGAGCCATTTTTTAATTGGGAAGCCTTACAAATGAAATAAATCATCAAAGGAAAAGAAGGCAATGTCCACAACATGCAACGCCTTGAAACCTTCTGCAGTTCTGTTGAAGCTGCAGCATGAAGCAAATCAAGGAAGGAGCCCAACAGAAGACAGAGAGCCAAGTTCAGATTCACAGTCAGGGAGCTAATGGGGCCTCTTTCAGTCAGTTGATCCATCTCTCAGCTTTCACTGGGGATAAAATTAAGAGGAAAGTCCAGGTGTTTCACCTTGAATTTTCAAAAAGGGAGATTTACATGGAATAAATAAATGTCTTATACAATAACCTAAGCTCCACATGAACTGAATGCCAGCTGAGTAGAAAGTTCAGGGGGGCAGTACCAAAAAAGAATTAGACATTATTCTACCAAGCATGTTGAATAATGTTCCTAGTGTGATAGGCACCTCAAATATCTCGCCATCCTCTATTTCTGACCCATTGAAATTGTGCTGGGAACCTTTTTTGTGGATTTGATATTTTAGGGTAAAGATTAAGAAACCAAGATTATGAAACCAAACAAGATTATGAAACAAAATGAGAGAGACTGATCATAATTCTTTTAGTTGGGGAAGGGGATATTCCTTCATTCTAACTCTGATCTGTTTATTTTGAAGAGTTCATTGAAACTTTCATGGGTTTACCTCCTCAAAATAGCAGGACCCATCCCCTTCACTTTTCAGCAATTGTACCATTGAATATTGGGGACGCCCCAAAGAAAGCTCAAGGGGTTGCATTAGAGGCAGAGGGATATGGGTCACCTGAGGTGCTTATTTTAATTTGAAACATCCTTATCTTTTGGACAACATCCTTAGAGCTCCTTTTCTTCTTTGTTTTCCACAGTCTTGTTTGGGATTTCGATCTCATTATCAGTAGCTTTCGACAACTCCCCACAGCACTCTTTGCCTGGCTCTGCATGTTCCTCTACACCTTATGTGTGCCCTACCAGGCCCTGCAAATATGGTCAGGCTGCTTGAAGATGACCAGGTTCCCCAACCTCTTGACAGTCACCTTGGTGGTGCTGGTGCTGCTCTGCCACACTGCAATGCTGGGCTTCTTCCCCCTCTATATCCTTCTCTCCTGTGATTTGGGAATTGCCTCACGTTTTATTGTCCTCTCTGAGCAGGTATGGCACTGGGCCAGCACAAAGAAAGTTGGTAGAGGGGAAAGGATTTCTTAAACAGCAATGAGGGTAGTTAAGATGAGGTTGGATTTGTGAAGAAACTCTGGTTGCCATAGAACATCTCAGTGTGGAAAACATAGATAGTAGCAGGTGCTACAAAGGTTCTCGACAGCATAAATTTATACTACCAAACACAGGCCACATATGTGCCATTGCACAGAGAAGACATGGCAACCTCACTCCAGGTTTAAGGTAGTTTCCTCCTATCTGGTGCCCTCTGGATTGTCTGGAGTGGTCCCATAAACCCCAAATAGGGGCATTAAGGATAGCCAGGTTAAACACATATTCTTTACTATACGTTGCCCTAAACAAGATATACCAGTGATGGCAAACCTTTTAGAGACCAAGTGCCCAAACTTCAACCCAAAACCCACTTATGCATTGTCAGGTGCCAGGTTGGTGTGGCCCATTGGTTGGGTATGGTCCATTGGGTGGGCGTGGCTGCAGTGGTAATGGCAGACTGGGTGGGACTAAAAAGTTCAATCAATCTATTCCAACTTTGCAAATCTTTTTTTTTCCGCAAGAAGTTGAAATTGACTGATTGATTGAACCTTTTATTTTTCACACGGTGGCAGAGGCCTAAAGCGAAAAGGTTTTATAAAACCCAGCTGAAGGTCTAGGACTTGGGCGACGGTGCATGTGCCCACAGTGTAGCCTCTGAGTGCCGCCTTTGGCACCTGTGCCATAGGTTTGCCACCACTGAGATATACAGTTCATTTTTTTTAATCTTGTGGCAAAAGGTATGGTCCTTAGCTGCTGTAGTCACACATACATTGTGTATAAATGCCTGCAGTAGCAATTGCCATGGCCTCAAATAGATGAGGGCAATTCGGAAATAAACCTCCGCTTGAGCATGTGCGACAAATAGGCGGGGATAGCGACACCCATCCTATGGAGCCATGCGCAGTAGTTCAGTAGGCAGTGAGGAATGGAAGGAGAAGGTATTGTTGTAGTTGACTCGTCCACTAGATCAGTTGAAAATGAACCCTGCCATAGAAAATCCCTCCAAAGGTGAAGTGCGTGCAGTAAAACAATTCCTGTGTGTGAAAAAACTTTCAGCAGCTGCGATTCATTATGAACTGTGTAATGTTTATGGACCAAATGTAATGAATGAAGGTGTCGTACGTCAATGGTGTCATATGTTTAAAGATGGAGGAACTGACGTGCACGATGAGGCAAGAAGTGGCCACCCATCTGTAGTCAGCAATGAACTTATGCAGAAAATTGACAAAAAGGTTCATGATATCTGCACTTTCTTTACACTTTCCCCAAATTTCTCAGACTGTTTTGTATGAGGTAATGACCGAAAATTTGGGATATCGCAAGTTCTGTGCTCGTTGGGTACCAAAACTCTTTTCTGAGGAACACAAAACACACCAAATGGGTTCACAATGCTGTTACAGGGTAGCTTCATCCCCAGGCAGGAGATTGTTTTGCAGAAGGAATTTCAAACCTTGTAAGATGTTATGATAAGGGGCTCAGTTTGAATGACGACTATGTCAAAAAGTAATGTAATGTTGTAGTTTTCTAATCTGTGTAATAAGAGTTCTGTATCTGCACGTGTCTGTCATTGGTAACCAATTGGAGGTTTATTTCCAAATTGCCCTCATATGTTCTTGTTGCAAATTGGAAGACTAGCAGATTTCATTCAAGCAAGACAATGAGCTGAAAAATCAGCAGGCAGTATAGCTGACAGATAGCCAAGTGCCATTTCTGTCTGAAAAGTCTAAACAGACAGAGTCTGGAGCACCATGGGATCCATCATGGGAGCATTAGAGACCTCTTGGATCACTCCATCCAGCTGAGCTGATGGGTGCAATTCCATTCTTTGAATATCCACAAGGATAGTACCGAAGGACAGGTAGATGGCATGGCAGAATACTAAAGTCCCCTGCAAGAATATCTACATGATGTAACTTCACACTGTTTCATTGCTCATTTCCCCCTCTGGGGTAGATCCGGTTCCTGATGAAAAGCCACTCATTTCTGCGAGAATCGATGCCCCCTCTTCTCCATGCCAGGGACCAAGTTGGTGAGTTTGACTTGGAAGCTCTTAGTGATGATTACGATGGCTGTGAGTTGTCCACATAGTCCCCAAACTGATTTTCCACCAATGGCAGCATTTTAGTTGTCATCCAACTATTGGCCTCCACATGCTAATCACAGACTTTCTCAACCTACGACTGCTGAGGAACTATTGGATTACATTTTTCATTTTCCTGTCATGTTAGATGTTGTAAGTAGAATTTAAGCATGACAAAATGCTAAGAAAAGTTATATGGATGCAAAGCAAAGGAAACCTCTTGCTTGGATCAAGTACACTTCCACATATCCCTCACCAAATCATAGTTTCTCCTATTTGCCAGACTTCATTTTGCATGAAGAGGTCAAAACATGGGAGATTTATTTATTTATCCATTTATTTATTTTTCTTATTAGGATACAAAGCAGCTCAAAATGTTTTTTAAAAAATCTGACATATAGTGCAAGATTTTATTGATTGCATTTTTTTTCCTTATACATATCCTTGTGAACACATGGAATAGACGCTTTCCTTGTTTGTTGCTTTTGTATATCAGTGGAGACAGATTTTTTTCAGAAAGCTGAATTCTGCATCTTGTATCATGCCTTAACTATAGTGGGTTTTGCAGCTACTTTTTGTACATAAGTATCTTGATAAGAAGGGCCGTGGTGGTGCTGTGGTTAGAATGCAGTACTGCAGGATAATTCTACCGACTGCTAGAAGTTCGATTCTCACTGGCTCAAGGTTGACCTTTCATCATTCCGAAGTCAGCAAAATGAGAACCCAGAGTGTTGGGGGGGCATATGCTGACTCTGTAAACCGCTTAGAGAGGGCTGCAAAGCATTGTGAAGCAGTATATAAGTCTAACCGCTGCTGCTACTGCTATCATCACATACACATAAAGCTCTGCATTCCTCCTGCTGAAACAGTATGCAGAGATAAGATGCCTCCACTTGAGAATTATGTGTGCTTCAGGGCAATTATTTCTTCAGTGTTCAACACAAACTGCTGTCTAGGTACTTGTCCCTGTGTACTTTCAATAGTTCCTCTGCTTCTTTCCCCCACTCCAGGGAAGATAAGCCCTCCTGAATTATCAACCTACTTGTATTTTCTCTTCTGCCCTACTTTGATCTACAGAAAGAGCTATCCAAGGTGAGTCTTTGCATATTGTCTTTGTATTTTTGGGCTGCCTGGTTTCTCAGCTATATCAGAAAAAGAGCGGGCAAAACAGGCTACAGTGTCTACAGCCCATGCCCCTAGAGCAGTAGTGTAACCATTGTATTTCCCAAGAAAAGGGAACTGCACCTTATCACATCCCAATCCAATCCCGTCTCCTTTCCTTATAGAGATCCATACATCCGCTGGAGTTACGTCATCCAAAAATTGGTTGAGGTGAGTAAAACACATTAAGTTTCCATTGGCTCGTTGGTTTTATCTGGCCTCTTTATGGATTAGAAAAGTGCTTGGAGACTATTGGATTTTCCCACAAGACTGAGCTGAACTGGGAACCCTACGGTATCTTAGCTAGCCAAGGTAGTAAATAGCAATAACACTTTAAGAAATCCTGAGTGACTAAAGGCCACTATTTAAATTTCCCAGAGTTCTCTAGCCTTGAGTGAATTATAACGTTTGTCCTGAGTCATGTTTGATGCAAAAAAGTTCACTGCCCCTAAGAGATGTACAATTTGAAACTTTAAACACAATGTACATATTTTCAAACATCTCCCAAAGGAAAACAAAAGGAAAAAGGGTTTGAAAGAGAGCAGAGTTAATGAAACTTAGAGCCATTCAGCAAGTGAGTGGTGCAGAAATCTATGACAGGTTGACTAAAACTAAATAAAAGAGAGGCTATTGGAGGACAGCATTTGGGCATTGTAGGAGATTAAAATGGCAGCCAAATCCAGCTTCTGAAACCATAGATGAGAAGAAGGTTGTTCTTAGTCATAGCCAAGACAACCAGTATGCCTTGCCAGAACACTGAGATGCCAGTGGATCACTAAGGTAGTATTTTTTCTCTGTCCCACAGTTCCTGGCGAGTATATATTTTGTGAATTTCCTTATGAAATACTCCTTCATTCCTGTGTCCAAAAACATGCATAAGCAGCCCTTCACCATCAAAATCCTGCTACTTTCCATCTTTGATTCAGTAGTACCTGGTATGTGGAAACAATTATGATTTTATTTGTGTAATGGGATTACAGGATAAGGCTGATTTATCACATTTTAGAGAAAGTGAAGACGTACAACAGATATTTCTCAACTGACAACCATTTGTTTAGTGACGTTCAAAGATACCACAGCACTGAAAAAAGTGACTTACAACCATTTTTCACACTTATGGCTGTTGCAGCATCCCCATGCTCACGTGATCAAAATACATGCCATAAATACTGGCATGTATTTATGATGGTTGCAGTGCCCCAGAGGGTGGCACGATCACCTTTTGCATCCTCCTGACCAGCAAAATCAATGGGAGAAATATCAGACAAGATACAGAAATTAAAGGACTGGAGATTAAAGGTGAAAAATATAAATTACAAGCATTTGCTGATGATTTAGTATTTATCTTAGAAGAACCTTTGGAGATGATTCCTAAACTACTGGGAAAGATAGAACAGTATGGAGAAGTGGCAGGATTAAAAATAAATAAAGAAAAAAACTAAAGTAATAGTCAAGAATCTCACAGATTAAAAAAATGACAGAAAAGACAGAGTTATAGATAGTGAAAAAGTCAAATATTTGGGCATATTGCAAAATGTTCAACAATAAAAGAAGATAACTACATAAAATTATTGAATCAAATAAAATTGGATTTGGAAAGAGGGAGAAATTTGCAACTGTCAATATTAGGAAGAATTTCTACAGTGGAAATGAATGTATTGCCGAAAATTCTATTTTTATTTCAAACAATCCCGATAAATCTTGAAAAAAAATTCTTTCAAGATTTAAATTCATTAATTTTGAAATTTATTTGGCAAGGAAAGAAAGCTAGAATTAAGATTAAAACGTTTTCAAGATGCTAAGGAAAATGGAGGTTTCGTGCTACCGGAGTGGGCTCTGTATAATCAAGCATCTATTTTAACATGGGTGAAAGAATGGATAACTCTTAGAAACAAAAGGTTGTTATATTTGGAGGGACATGATCTACAATTCAGGTGGCATGCTTTCTTATGGTATGGGAAAAACAGAGTTCATAAGTATTTCCAAAATCACTATATAAGGAATGCATTGTTAATAGTATGGGAAAAAATAGAAATAAATTATACCTGAAAATTCCAGAGTGGTTGTCAACTATGGAAGAATTTGTACATACAAACTTGGTAGATTTTGAAAAAAATTTGGACATACAGAGATATTCTAAATCCTGAAGGGAATTTAAAATCTAAACAAGAATTGGAAAATCAGGGTATCAACCTGTCGTGGTGGGCACATTTACAAATGCAAAGTAGATATGAAAAAGACGTTAAACTATTAGGTTTTTATAAAGAACAAACTGTATTTGATAAGATTTTGATAAGAAACTGATCAAGAGTTATGGGAAAGAATTTACAAATTGACAATGTCAACTTTGTATAAAGAAAATTTATATAAAATGTTTTATAGATGGCACTTGCCACCAGTAAGATTAGCAAAAATGTCTAAAAATATGTCAGATAGATGTTGGAAATGTAAACATAATTCAGGCACATATTATCATGTTTGGTGGACCTGAGATAAAGCAAAGAGCTATTGGAAAAAGATACAAACTTGGTTAGAAAAGATATTGGGAGAACATGTAGACTTTAAACCTGAACTTTTCTTATTAGGTATAATGCCAGAAAAGATTAACAAACAAAGCCTATATTTGATTTTGCACATCACAACAGCTGCAAGAATAATGTTTGCGCAATATTGGAAAAATGAAGGAATACCACCAGAGGAAGAAGTAATTTAAAAAATACTGGAATGCGCAGAGATGGACAGATTAACTATGAGATTGAAAGAAAAAGAAGAAACAGAATATTATCAAACTTGGGACTTATTCGATCAATGGCTAGAGGAAAGAAGGAAGGATTGGGAATTAAATATGTATTAGCGTTTTTAAACCCAGATAGCACGTTGTTTGAAAAATTATTATATGTATGTAAGAAAAAAAATCAATAAAATCAGCTTCAGCAGACTTTAGGGAAGATCAGCATCAGTGTTTTTCTGTTTATAAGGGCTTCAGGTATGAGTGTGTCAAATGAGGGTCTTGTGATGAATCAGATGAGAGTCATTAGTGAGATTCTTTTGATGGGTCTAGTGATGGGGAGGTCATATCAGGTCAAAGTCATTGGGAGGTGGACTGCTGTTGGTGGGGGCTTCTGTGGGTTGGATGAGGGTTGGTGCTGTCTCTGGTTGGCTGTGTGGTTGATTTGGATTTTAAGGGGTTCGTAGGCTGGTTGTAGATCCATGTGTATTGATGGAATTGCTTGTGGAGTGCCAGTCTTTGATGAACTCACGAGCACGGTGGGTGATAGCATGGTCGATGATTTTTGTGTTGCTCCAATTGAACTGGTGCTGTTTGGTATCAGTGTAGTAGAGATTGAGGATTTGGGATTGTGGCATTTGACTGCCAAGCCAGTGTTCAGGGAACCTGGTTTTAATTGATGTGATGTTTGTCCCACATAGAATTGGTTGCAATCATTACAGTTGATTTTGTAGATTACATTGTTTCTTTCATCCTTCTGTACCTTGTCTTTGGTTCTGGATAATTCCTGGTGGAATGTGGCAATGGGTTTGTGGGTTATTGCTATTCCTAGGGTTTGGAAAATTCTGGCTGTCATTTCTGACACCGCTCTTGGGTATTGTAGGATTAGTGGACTCTTGTGGTTTGGGTGCTGTGTGTTGGAATAGGAAGTTTTTTGGATAGCCATTATGTAGAAAGACATTAAGCAGCTATTTCTCTTCTGCTTTTCTTAGTGTTGTGGTGCTACAGTTTGTTCTGGCCCTTCTGAAGAAGAACTGATCCATGTGCGTGGGTTTGGGGTAGATGCAGATTTCCAGTTCTCTATTGTCTAGTCTCCTTATGTCGATGTCGAGGAATGGGTGTCTGTTGTCTGTTTCTTCTTTGCATGTGAATTTGATCCCAGGGAATATGTTATTGAATAAGTGGTCTATTTCTTCAATTTGGGAGTGTTTGATGATGACAAATGTGTCATTGACATAGCATATTCAGAATTTTGGTAGGATGGTCAGTAGAGCTATGGATTAAAGCTTAGAGAATGAACCTTCATCTTCAATATTGTGTATGTTCGCTACCTTGAGATATATTCAAATGGTGGGTAAAAATATAATAATAATAACAACACTTACCTGCAAGAAGAACTGGTAAGAGCACAAGATAGACAAATAGTAGAAAATGAAGACACTAAGGTGTTCTGGCACTTTAGAATTAAAGCAGACAAGCATCTGCCACACAACACTTTATGTTAACAATTATCGATAAGACAAAATTCACGAATGAAGGCAAAGTAAGTGTCCCAGGGTAATGTTGCTGGATCCAATCTAGGTAGGTTACCCGGACCAGAGGTTTTGTCTTCCGAGCTTTCCATCTTCAGAAAACTTTCTCTAGCCTAGGCTAGCGTCCAAAAGCTCAAAAGACAAAACCTTTGGTCCCAGTGACTGACCCAGATCAGATCCTACAACAAAAAAGTCTGGATAGTAGACATTGTAGTATCTGGAAAAGCAGAAGAAAAGACAAAGAACTGGAGAAAAATCATAAAATATAAAGACCTGCAAATAGAACAATTGTGGCCAAAGAAAGCACAGATAGTACTAATGGTAATAGGCACCTGGGGTGCAATCCCAAAACATCTGGAGGATAACTTGAAGACCATCAGCACTCACAAAACCACTATCAGTCAATTGCAAAAGGCAGCTTTGCTTGGACCAACCATGACCTAGATGGTTAGATATTCCACTACGATGCTAACCTCTAAAAGTCTAAGCTAAAAGTCTAATTTGATTTGCAGTCGTCTGTCTTAAATCTAAAAGAATAATTGCATTTTTAATCTCTGGGAAGAACTGATGTATTTCTTTACCTCTCTCATTCAGGGATAACTCTGGGAATCATGATGCACTATTTCTTCCTGCACTGCTGGCAAAACATGTTTGCCGAGATCCTGCGCTTTGCAGACCGTTCTTTCTACAAGGTGATAACAAGGAGTGGGGGAGGTTGCAAGAAAGATACAGGGAGTCTGGATTTCATTCCTCATGGATATATTTGAATGGTCCATTGACCACTCCATGAAGAACAGTTTGAAAAACTTCCCAAAGAGTTCTGAGATGTTATGGCTCTAAAAGAAAATCAAATTTTAACTTGCTGAAACAACTATACTGAACAAACTGACATTGAAGTATCAAATTACTTGTAATCAAAGTAATAAATATAGGTGGTTCTCATTTAGCAGTTGGTCACAGTTACAACGATGATGGTAAAGTAAAGTTATGATCAGTCCTCGCATTTACAATCTCTGCAGGTCTGCAAAGCAAAGGAAAGTTGAAGTCAGATTGCAAGCATTTTTATCTATGCTAATTGTTTTAATGGGCTTGCAAAATATTTTACTTTTTGCTTTTGTCATATGGCACCAGAGTCACTTCAGGTGAGATGGGCAACCATGTAAATTTGGCAATAAAGAAATCTGACAAATAAATAACACAACTATTTCCACTTAATGACCACTTAACCACTTTGTTGCTGCTCTCAGTTGTGGTCACTAAATGAAGACTGCCTGTAGAAACTGCCTGTATGTTGAGGGACTGTAAGAGAGATCAAATAACATGTTCTGAAAGACTTTGCAAGATCCCACATGATCCCACATCATTCATCAGCCCTCCCAATGGCTGAAATCTCACCTTTCATGGCCCCCTTGCCCCTCAATCTCACTCCTTCCCTAACACCCAGTTGCACCTGCTTGCTCTCCCACACCCAACAGCAGCCACTTACCTTGCCTGTTTGAGAGTTGCAAATTCCTGCTGGTTTCCCCACTAACTTAATGATGGAAATTCTAATCCCAATTGCCCTTCTAAGTCAAGGACTATCAAGTGTGGATTGTTCTTTTGCTTGCCTAAAATACAGGGATGTTCTAGTTTCATGCTATTTATTCCATTCTCCCTGCGTAGGACTGCTGGAATTCCAGATCATGCTCTGGATTCTTTCGGACATTGAATGTGATTGTACACGACTGGCTGTACTATTATATTTATCAAGATATTCTGCGGGTAGGTAAGGCTGAATTGGGCTATGAGAATAAACTTTGGGGCCAGGAGGAAGAACTTCAGCCAGGGCAATGGTCAACAAGAGATGTCTCAGCCCACAGCAGGATTTGGGGGTAGAACAGCATTTCAGAAGGGATTCTCTCTTGTTCAGAAAATCAAGGACAGAAAAGAAGGAAGTGCTTGCAGACTTGCAAGATTCTATTACTGTAACCTTACAATAAAAGCACTATTATTTGGTTTGGTTTACTGTCTGGAAAACCTGACAGGACTGGAAAGCTTACCAAACCCACCCTATATTATCCCATAAAGTAGATCTGCTGCATGTAATCTCTCTATGCCTGTCTTCATTGTTAATTGGTAAGTACCAAGATGAGGTCTCATGTGCTCCTTCTCTTCCAGCTGTTTGGAGGGAGAGCCCGAGGTGGAGCTATGCTGATTGTCTTCCTTCTCTCAGCGGTTGTCCATGAATACCTACTCACCTTGGCCTTTAGCATGTTCTTTCCTGTCATGTTTGTGCTATTTACCACGATTGGAGGTCAGTACTCCCTCAGGAAATGGACTGAACCTTTACTCAGAGGATTCAAGCAAGGCCGGTAAAAAAATAACGTGGCATGAATTGCTCCTGTGAACCTTCTTCCATTCTGTCCTACCCTCCTCTGGTTTTGGGTTTCCACACTTCCCAAATGGTACACACTTATGTTCCTTTTGATACATTTTTTTTTTTTACCACTGGGAGGTGGAGTTTCTCCAAATTTATTCAGAGTCTTGTGGTGGGTCTTGTGATTCATCTAACCCTAACCCATCACAAGACCCTCACATTATGTGACCCACACCTGGCCCATCACAAAACCTATCACAGGACCCTCCCTTGTGACCCACACCTGAAAACACGGAGACCTTATAAACAGAACACTGACAGTGACATCCCCTAAATTCCACTGAAAAGGTTACATAGCCTGGTAACGAAACCAACAAGCTTGGAGAAGGAAACCTCCACCCCACCTCATCTGCTCCAGATTTATTACTATTATTATTATTTCCAGTATGTTCAGTCATCACAGCCTTCAGACATATTGGCTACAGAATCTTGGGAATTGCTTGCCTCAAACGTGCAGCTTCCTAAATTGGGAAAGACTAGCTAAGGAAAGATTCAGGGCATTATCCTCCCCCACTCCCCGACAGTGTTTCTCAGTGTTTCTTGGGGACTTTAAAATGTGTGAACTTCAGCTCCCAGAATTTCACAGGCAGCATGTGCATTGTATTATTCCCTCAGATGGTGAATTGTATGCTTAGGCTGGAGGCTGCTTTTTCATCCCTGAGAAAATTATTTTGGTGTCGTATTTTTTTCAAATTTTGCTGGTCACTGACTGAATAAACAGTGGTTCTTCCCTGAGAAAAATTAAGATTCTTTATTCCAACAGGAGGGGAAAAAAATAATGTCAAACAATTTTACAAATTAAAAAGCAAGAGCAAAGAGCAAAAACAAAATTAGTAACTGGAAAACAAAATGTTGCTATTTCAGAAGTCCAGTTACAATTCCAAAACAGATGCAAGTACTCTTTTATCTGCGTCCTGATCATGACTAAACTTTAGTTGTAATCAGGATGCAGATAAAAGAGGGACAGGGAAATAGCCTAGGTTCTAGGAGCAGGGAGTTCCATCTACAAGGGTATTGCTTTGAGAATTGTCTTTCCCAAATTATTTTACCTCCATAGGAGTAGGGATGAGGCATACAGTATTGTCTTATAATTAACATGGGAATTGCTGTTATTTTAGATTTGGTAACGAAGAACGTTTCTATTACAAATAACAGTTATTAGAAATCAATAGTTATCCCCTTGGCTCAGTGTGATTGGAATATATACAACTAACCTCTTTTCTGTTTGTTTTCACAGTGTTGCTTAACTTTGTTCTAAATGATAAGAGAAAAAACCCTCTCTGGAACATCATCATATGGATAGGCCTCATTTTGGGCACAACGACCGTTTTCTCATTATACAGCCAAGAGTGGTTTGCACGTGCCCACTGTCCACTCAAGGAGGTGAGTAGATAGTCTACCTATGCGGAGTTAGAATAAGTCTTGGGTTTCCTCTTCATGTTATTTTCCAAGAGGGTCAAGACTACTAGCTGGCATATATCCCAGCTGCTAAAATTAAGGTAAAGAAGATGGGGAATTCAGAAATGCCGGGAACTTGCAGATAAAATTGTTCTAAAGCTATGAGCTGATTCTAATTCTGCTGGTATTGGCAATGGCTAATGGCAGCTCAGGGGATATATTCTGTACCTGTATCTATTAATTGACTTGACTGGCTGACCGATCAATCAACTGACTGGTTGATTTGTGCCATTAAGCTGGTTCTGATTCCTAGTGACAACATAAATAGATCTTCCCTATGTTGAACTATGCCTACTGTTAAGTCCTTGAAGCAAAGGCGAAGGAAGAGGACACATTGCTGTATAACAACCCTTTATTGTGCTTTCAGTCAAAACTCCAACAATGAGCAAAGGCACGCAGGCCTCCTTTTATAGGCCCAGATCCCCGGACATAATAGCAACATCATCAGGCACTTTTTCGCGCCTTGCGCATGCACGCAAGCCGGCGCCACTCAGTCTGGTCCCTGGTAGCTTCTGCAAGCCCGGGACCATTGCAAAGTCCCGAGCCTGCATTTGCATGCTCAGGACACAACACCCCTCCCCCCTATCTTGGAACAATCCTGACAGTCAAACAGGGAAGAGAGTGCCTGAGATTGCCTCCACCCACAATTCCAATCCTTGTTATGTCAACTAAGACACTTAAAATCATAAGTAAAACAAAATACATTATTAGCTAATAACCTTAAGGGTATTAGCCCTGGTAGCTAGTCAGCAACTTCACAAAGTCTGAAAGATATTTGGGAGGGTACTTGGCCCTTTGCGACCTCCTCGGACTGGGAGAGTTTTCTGGTTCTTTTCCTTTGCCCCCTATGCTAGGCAAGCCTGGACATTGCTGCCCGCTTGCCTCAGGAGACCCTGGTATTGTTGCCTGACCTACCTGCTCGCCTGCCCAGCTCAGTAGGTCAGGGCTTTGCTGCCCCGAGTACCTGGTTGATCTGCCCATCTGCTGGTTGGCTGTGCCCTCTGCACTCAATCCAACATCCCTTGGAGGGGTGGTAGTCCCCGGATCCACAATGGACCCTTCTTAGGAGCACTGTCCCTTGAACCCAAGGTCAGCAGATGGATAGTCAGGGGTGGCTACAGGGCCCCAGTATTCAGTGGACCCCAAGGTCAGGCCTGAAGTGCCAGAGTCAGGAGTAGCTTCTCTGTTTGCCCCCTTACAGAAGACTTTCTTCTGGGAGCAATTGCAGAATTTGGCCTGCTCCCCTGCTGTGTTGCCAGTTCTCTTGCAGAATGTGAGTTATTTGGATACCCCCCGGTCAGTCTCCCTGTCTGGAGTATTGCTATCTATGGGTGAATAATGTGGATACCTCCGGTGTGACTCCCTGGCTGGAGTACATATGGGTGTATGAGGTGGCCCCCTGCTCCATGACTTCCTGTTTGCAGCACTTGCAGAACCCCGAGATGGGGGATCAATGACCTCCTCAGAATGCACTCTATAGCCTTCCCCCCCCCCAGTGCAGAGCCAGGAGCGGAAGGGTGTAGATCCAGCCTCGCACGCAGCTGATCTATGTGCCGCCGAATAATGCGGCCGTCAGCCAAGGACACTTCATAGGACAAAGGTCCCGAGACCTTGCAGACCACAGCTGGTATCCAGGCCCGTAGTTCCGAGTCCAGACTGCATCACCCACATGAAGGCACCTTTGTGTTCGTGGATGTGGCACCTGAGACATCACCCGGTCAGGATGCAGTCTGTCCAGCTTAGTAATGAGCCGACAACCCCAGCGGAGTTCAGCAGGACTCTTTCCGGTGGATGTGCAAGGTGTGATGCGATGTGCAAGAAGAAAGTCTGCTAACCTGTGATGCCAGTCACCGTAAGTCAGTCTCTTGAGTGCATCCTTGGTGGATGGGTGGAAAGGAGCCGAAGTTGCATGGTGGATCAGGTTAGCCTGAAGAAAAGTCTGGAACTCAGAAGAAGTGAATTGAGGACCGTTATCTGAAACCAGGACATCTGGAAGGCCATGAGCTGCAAAAATACCTCTTAGTACTTGGATAGTCTTGGCAGTAGTAGTGGAGGTCACAGGAACAACCTCTAGCCACTTGGAATGGCTATCAACAACAACTAGGAAGAATTGCCCCTGAAAGGGCCCAGCATAATCAATATGTACCCTAGACCATGATGTTAGGGTTTCCTCCCACCTATGAACTGGGGCTTGAGATATTTCAGGCCGGGACTGTTGGCACACGTGGCACCCATGTACCTGGGCCTCGATGGCTTTATCAAGGCCAGGCCACCACCAATGGCTGCGTGCAAGCGCTTTCATCCTGACTATCCCAGGGTGTCCCTCATGTAGAGAGATTAAAATTCTAGATCTCAATGAGGTAGGGATTACTACCCTACTTCTCCATAACAGGCAACCCTTGAAAGTGGAAAACTCATGCCTCTTATGCCAGAAACTTTGGAACTCAGTATCAGGGCACTTTTCAGGCCAACCTGACAACAACCATGACAATACACATGTAAGTGTGTGATCAGTGGCAGTTTCTGCAGCCACATCCCTAACATTGAGGGGAGACTCAGGCAATTCTTGAATGGACAGAATATTAACAGCTGGAGCAGGGTCAGGCTCCAAGACTGGCAGGGGTAATCTACTCAGGCCATCAGCACGATCCATTTCCTTTCCAGGTTTGTGAATCAGCGTGTAGTCATATGCTTACAAGAAAATGAACCATCTCAGCATACGGGGAGAAAGGATATGCTGTTTGGTCATGGTAAACAACCCCAGCAGTGGCTTATGGTCCATATAGACCGTGAAGTGGCAGCCGTATATGAAATCATGAAATTTCCTAATGCCAGCCACAATGGCCAGCACTTCTCTGTCAATCTGAGCGTAATTACACTCAGCAGAAGACAGTTTCCTAGAATAATAAGCCACAGGGACCTGTGTCCCATCAGCCATCAGATGGCTAAAAATTGCCCCTACTTCATAAGGAGAAGCATCGCAGGCAATGCAAACAGGTAGTTGCTCATTGAAGTGAGCTAGTACAGCATTAGAAGTCAGCAAGGCTTTAACCTCATTGAAATTTTTTTCATGGACCTTAGTCCACTGCCAACAGGCTTGTTTGTCTAAGAGCCTATGCAAAGGCTCAGCTATAGCAGCTTTATGTGGCAGAAATGCATGGTAGAAGTTCAAAAGGCCCCAAAAGGCTTGTAGTTCACCCTTAGACTTAGGGCTTGGGGCCTGCTGAATGGCCTTTAATTTAGCTTCAGAAGGGTGAATGCCTTGAGCATCTATCCTGAATCCCAAAAAGTCAGTAGAATTGACTCCTATCTTACACTTGTCTTTTTTTAACTTAAGGCCTGCTCTTCTAAAACGAAGTAAGACAGCCCTTAATCTCTCTGCCAAGTTTTGAGATGATTCCCCTGCAATGAGGACATCATCAAAATATGGGCAGACTCCAGAAATACCCCTCAATGTGTTTTCCATGACACTTTGGAAAATGCCAGGGGCTACATTCACCCCAAATTGCAATCTCTTTACCTTAAAAGCCCCTCTATGGGTCACAATTGTTTGAGCTTCAGCAGCTGCCTCATCAACAGGCAACTGTTGATAGGCCTGTGCCAGGTCAAGTTTCACAAAAATGCACCCCCCTTTTAGGGAAGCCAGAATGTGACTTCTACAGGTATTGGATAAGCATGTTGCTATAGTGCCTTGTTTAGTGTGCACTTGTAATCTGCACAAATACGTATGTCCCCATTAGCCTTAAGAGGCATTACTATGGGAGTTTCCCAAGGTTCCAAGATGCCCTGCTGGAGCAATTTGTCCAGTTCAGCATCAATCTTGCCTTTGAGGGCAAAAGATACCCTCCTAGGCTTGACCCTAATGGGTGTTATGGAAGGATCTAATCGTAATGAAACTGGAGGCCCCTTATAGATTCCAAGCTCAGAACTAAACACATCTGCAAATTCCTTGCAGACTTCTGCAAGACTTAACGTTTGCAAATGGTGCAGCCCGATGACCTGGATTCCCAGAGCCTCAAACCAATCGAGTCCAATGAGACTCGTGCGTTCACTCCCAACAACCAACACATCTAAGGGACCCTCAAAATCCTTGTACTGTACCTTAAGGGTGGCCTCCCCCTTAACACACACCTTAGAATTCTGAAAGTCCGTGAGTATCACGTTGGATGGCCTGAGTTTAACTCGAAGGCCACTGCTGCTACAAATCTTCCTGAATGTGTTGAGGGAAATTATGGAAAGAGCGACCCAGTGTCCAATTCCATGGATAAAGGGACCCCTGCAACCTTACTTTAAGGGACAGTTTCTTCTTTAGGGGTTTATGTGTGCCTGTCCTGAGAACACTTCTGCGTGTTGCGAAGAAACCCACCCTATTTTGGCTGGGGACCCTGGTACCTTTCAGATGCAATTCTTCTCTAGGTTGTACCTTCTGATGACCCAAACAGACGGATGCGATGTGGCCTTGCCTACCGCATGCCCTGCAAATGGCGGAACGGAACCGGCAGTCAGCTCGCTTGTGGCGTCCTCCATACCCGAACCATTGAAGGACCATTGAAGCCTTTTCTGTGTGTTCCTTCTGTCTCCTTCCAGCTGCCTGGTAAAGCTTGTCCACCTCATCTTCAGGAACTTCTTCCAACTCTTCTCACACGTTCTCCTGGTGGATGGCAACGGTCTCCGGAGAGCTTCTGTTGAACCACATGTTCTTGACTGCCCCTCCTGTTGCTTCCTCTGCTGTAACCTCTCGCAGAGCATCTTGGAAAGAGACATCTTCCTTAGTGAAGATCTTTTGCTGTAAGTCTCTATTCCTTAACCTGCATACAAAACGGTCGCGCAGCCTATCTTCTAAGTCTTTAAACTCACACGGTCTGGCTGCTTGTCTCAACACCACAATAAAGTCTTTAGCAGATTCTCCTGCCTTCTGATCCCTTTGTTCAAACATCTGCCTCCATGCAATGACGGACAACTTGGGCTGGAAATGCTCCTTTAGAAGCTTCATTAAATCCGTGTACGTTACACCTTCCAGAGAAGCAGGAGCCACTAGATTTTCAGCGATCTCAAAAGTCTCTTGTCTGCATACACACAACAATGTGGCAGCCTTCAGCCCATCTTCACGAATTTGGTTGACTCTGAAATAGTTCTTCACCCTCACAACGTATGAGTCCCATCTTTCCGGGTGTGCGACGTCAAACTCTGACAAGCGGTCAATCTTCGCCATTGTAGCTTGTGCTTCATCACTCACTTCTTCAGGGAAAGAGTCTTTCAGCCAAACTCACCCTCCAGCGACACTGTACTGGCAGGATGGATGCTGATTTTAACGCTGTTTTTCCCCTTTCAGGACTTCTTTTGGGTGAGTCTTATAGCTTTCTTCTATTTTTCTTGTGAAGGATCCCACCCTCGTCGCCAGTGTTAAGTCCTTGAAGCGAAGGCGAAGGAAGAGGACACATTGTTGTATAACAACCCTTTATTGTGCTTTCAGTCAAAACTCCAACAACGAGCAAAGGCACGCAGGTCTCCTTTTATATGCCCAGATCCCCAGACATAATGGCAACATCGTCTGGCACTTTTTCGTGCCTTGCACATGCGTGCAAGCCGGCACCACTCAGTCTGGTCCCGGGCAGCATTTGCAAGCCCGGGACCATTGCAACATCCTGAGCCTGCATTTGCATGCTCAGGACACAACACCTACCTGTTCTTTTAAGTCTCCCAACAGGCAGTCATAGCCGGTATAATTGACTCCACCCACTTTGCTGCTGATCCTCCTTCTCTTCTCTTTCCTTCCTTCTTTTCCAATGTTATATATTCCTAGCATTATTCACCTGTATCTATGCTAGCTCGTAAATAAATATGTATTTGATTTTTATCCTGCTTTTATTTCTGGTCAGCTCAAGGCACTATATATATCTAATGTTCCCGCTTCCTATTTTCCCAACAACAAACCTGTGAGGTGGGCTGGGCTGACTAGACCCAAGTCACTCAGCTTACTTTCATCCCTAAGGGAAGCCTAGAATTAACTGTCTCCTGATTTCTAGGCCAGTACCTGAACCACTACCTCAAACTGGCTCTTAAGTTTAAAAATTCTATCTCATCACTATTGGGAAAAACAAGGGCTCAGAATACTTATTTGCATGTATTTGAAAACTACAATAGATGTTATTAAAAATGAGAGCACAATGGTTTCAATTTTTGTTGTTTTCAGATATAAAGAGAGTGATAAAGCAGGGGGAAAAATATCTGTAATTTGGCTGGAACCATTTAATTAAGGATTGTTTGATTATTACTTAATATTACTTTATTAAGATTATGCCTGAATCACCTTTTGGCTTCAAAACATTAAAATACTCCAATCAATAAAAATAAAGAACAAATAATATTTCACATTGGTTGCACTTAGGGGGCATTTCAGTATGTGAAAAAAAAAGCACCTGACTGTTATTGATACATGAATGCTGCAAAGGTCTTCATTGTTTTATTTTCATTCATTCCTTTTCATTCTATGGAGCCCTGAACAGGAAAAAAGACCAAGCCAAAGGTCCATTGAGAGCAGCAGATATGCCCAATCTGTTGCCAACCATGTATGCTGGCTCGGATTGGGAATCCAGCACATTCTGGAGATCCCAGGTTCCATAAGGTTTTAATGCAAGATTCTGTTCTACAGCCTAGTCAGAGATGCTCACCTGTAGGGAGTCAAAGCAAACCTTTCTTTCTTCTCCTCATAACAGTAGCTGCAAAAGGTGCTCTCCAATATGCAGTATTGAAAATTCTAGGTCAGTGATGGCGAACCTTTTAGAGACCGAGTGCCCAAACTGCAACCTAAAAGCTACTTAGGCATTGTCGTGGCCCATTGGCTGGGTGTGGCCAGTTGGGTGGATGTGGCCCATTGAGTGGGCACAGCTGCGGTGGTAATGGCAGACTGGGTGGGACTAAAAAGTTAAATCAATCAATTCCAACTTTGCAAGCTTTTTTTTTCACACGAGGTTGAAATTGACTGTTTTTGGGTTTTTTTGCACACGGCGGCGGAGGCCTAAAGCGAAAAGGTTTTATAAAACCCAGCTGAAGGCCTAGGACTGGGGCGATGGTGCGCGTGCCCACAGAGAGGGCTCTGAGTGCCACCTCTGGCACCCGTGCCATAGGTTCGCCACCACTATTCTAGATCTAAGATCCTTTGATAAGTAACATCCTCCAAGTACGGGCTACGTTGATTTGCTTCCAGGAGCTGAAGGGCCTGAGAAGCGAAACTGCCAGAACCAGATCCTGCATCCTGGGAGAGGCTAGGCCTGCAATTCAAATCTCTCCAGTGCTACCTTCAACATTGCTGAGACTTTGGGAGTATTGTGCTAATGGGCTCCTGATTGTGTTGGAATATATGTATATATAGTTGATCTTGTTGACCCAGATCTAAGCATGTGATTAGCAGGAATTCTTGTATTATTTTGTCTTATGGCAGTTCTTTCTCTTCCGCCTATTGTCTTTCTTTTGACATAATCATCATTTTCTTTTTTCAGAAGACCTTCTGGCGGCTAGTGACTCCACGTTCCTGGTCTTGCCACCAATAAGCAGCTATTTCCAGCCTACCCTATCCTACTTTGCTTTAGAAATGACTTCTGACAAAGATAACACATTACTCTGCTGCTTTGGCAAGAGGACTCTCAGCACATCAGGCGTCTCTTCCACTCCCTCCATGAAAAGCTGTATTTGGCAATTCCTCACCTGAGGGTGCTAAAATTTGGTTTGCAGGTTCAAAGGCTCTCACCTAATGGAGACAAAGAAATGTAGCATTTAACAAAATATCTATAAAGATCCAAGCTGTGTCAAGTCCATGGGCCTTCTTGATGTTCAAGTTCCATGGGAAAAGGGCTAAGGAAAATTTGTAAATGACAATCTTTGATTGCCTCCAAGACTTGCAAAGCAATCTCTCTTTCTTAACCTATTTAAAAGAAAACACAAGAGCTCCACCATGAAATATAGGTTATCCCACCTCCTAGCTTCAATCCAAACTCTGTTGCTTTTAAATCAATAGGCAGCTTTCCAGATACTGGTGAAGTACAGCTCCCATTAGGTCCATTGATGAGGAATGATGGGTACTTAAAGTGCAACAATACCAGAGGTACTGCTTGTATTTCCTACCATTATACTTTCATTCAACATTTTATTTCTAGCAGTGAATGAAAGGAGCCTGACATACCACCAGCAATATCCATTCAATGTCTACTGTATTGTGTGAATGATTTTTGAAACTATATTTGGAGAAAAGGGATCTCCAAACCACAAGAGAATAGACTGCAGTATGAGACAAGGGTAAAGCCACCTGTTCACCCTGCCATATTTCCCTTTTTTGTATATATAAAGATTTTATTGGTGTTTTTTTTCATCACCATATGTTAATTTTTTCAATCAACAAGTTGTCTGGAGTTTGCTATGCTAATACATGTTCAATTCTTAATCCTTCATTCTTTCCTCTAGCCAAAAATAAAATAAATTCTAAATTTGATAGTAGTCTGTATCTTCTTTATCTTTCAACCTCATAGTTAATCTGTCCATCTCTGCACATTCCAATATTTTCCTGATTACTTCTTCCTCTGATGGCAGTCCTTCATTCTTCCAGTATTGTGCAAAAATTATTCTTGCTGCTGTAGTAATGTGTAAGATTAAATATAATTTCTGCTTATTAGTCTTTTCAGGCATAATACCTAGTAAAAAAAGTTCAGGTTTAAAATCCACTTGTTCACCCAATATGTTTTCTACCCACATATGTATCTTTCTCCAATAGGCCTTTGCCTTACCACATGTCCACCAAATGTGATAATAGGGTGTCTATGTTATGTTTACATTTCCAACATCTATCTGACATATTTTTAAACATTTTTGCTAATCTTGCTGGTGGTAGGTGCCATCTATAAAACATTTTATACAGATTTTCTTTGTATGAAGTTGACATTGTTAATTTATAGTTTCTCTCCCATCACATTTGCCATTTTTCTAATTCTATATCATAGCCCAAAATTTTTGCCCATCTTGTCATTGTTTCTTTCACTTGTTTACTTTCCATATCCAAAATTAACAAAAAGTTATACATTTTCTTGATTAATTTCTCATCTGAGGTTAACAAAATCTTATCAAACACAGTTTGATCCTTGTAAAATCCATACATTTTTACATCTTTTTCATATCTACTTTGTATCTGTAAATGTGCCCATCAGGACAAGTTAATTCCCTGATTTTCCAATTCTTGTTTAGATTTTAATTTCCCATCAATATCTAGAAAATCTTTATATGTCCATATTTTTTCAAAGTCTACCAAGTTCGGATGTATAAATGCCTCCATCATTGATAACCACCCTGGAATTTTTAAATATATTTTAGCTTTAATTTTTTCCCATACTGTTGGCAAGGCATTTCTTATAAAATGATTTTGAAAGTACTTATGGACTCTGTTTTTCCTGTACCATAAGAAAGCATGCCACCCCAGTTGTAAATCATGTCCCTCTAAATACAATAAACTTTTATTTCTAAGTGTTATCCACTCTTTCACCCATTTAACGCAGATGCTTGGTAATACAACGTCCATTCCGGCAACCCAAAACCTCCATTTTCCTTAGCATCTTGTAATGTTTTCATCTTAATTCTAACTTTTTTCCCCTGCCAAATAAAGTTCAAAACCAATGAATTTAAATCTTGAAAGAATTTTCTCTCAAGTTTTATCAGAATCGTTTGAAATAGAAATAAAACTTTTGGCAACACATTCATTTTTACTGTAGCAATTCTTCCTAATATTGACAGCTGCAGATTATTCCATCTTTCCAAGTCTAGCTTTATTTGCTTCAATAATTTTGTATAATTGTCTTCTTTTATTGACGAACACTTAGCTGAAAGATGAATACCTAAATATTGAACTTTTTTCACTATTTGTACCTCTGTTTTCCCTAGTATTTGCCTTTTTTGTTTATCTGTGTGGTTCTTTACTATTACTTTGTTTTTTCTTTACTTATTTTTAGTCCTGCCATTTCTCCATATTCTTCTATCTTTCCCCATAGTTTAGGAATCATCTCTAAAGGTTCTTCCAAGATAAACACTAAATCATCAGCAAATGCTTGTAACTTATATGTTTCATTTTTTATTCCAATCCTTTAATTTCTGTGTCCTGTCTTATCCTTCTATTTAGTACTTCCAAAGTAAAGATAAATAATAATGGAGATAGTGGACACCCTTGTCTCGTAACCATGCCATGTTTCTCATCCAAGGAGAAATACAGTACAATATTTTTTTTAAAAAACCTTTGATCACAATCCTGATGGTGCTTTAATTGTTTCTCTCAATGTAACAAGAAAGTGACATATTTTGTTTCACTGCAGAGGCTGAAGCATTGTCTGCAGAGTATTTGGATGTGTGCACAGCATTAAGTCATATGGATTTTATTCAAAATGATGCTAAATAGGCAATCAAGAGAACATTCTTATTGTTAGCACAAGGTTTGTATAGCTGTTTCTACAGTTATGTTTTTAATATTGGAGGAAAGGGCAGGCACTTTGAATAAAAGTGTGTTGACATTCATAATGCCACTTGTGTAAATTTTTAAAACAGATACTCTTCTATGTTAGTGTTATCAGATCTCTCTAATTTTCTGTTACTCTGCTGCCTGATTCGCAAATTATATTAAATCAGTTTTGGCTTAAACTAACCAAGGAGAGAAGCAACCTAGAACTAAGGAGAAACTTCCTGACAGTTAGAACAATTAACCAGTGGAACAACCTGCCTCCAGAAGCCGTGAATGCTCCAACACTGGAAGTTTTTAAGAAGAGACTGGACAGCCATTTGTCTGAAATGGTATAGGGTTTCCTGCCTGAGCAGGAGGTTGGACTAGATGACCTCCAAGGTCACTTCCAACTTTATTATTATTATTATTGTGGATCATTGCACAGTCAGCCAGATGTTCAGACTGGATTTGGCATTTTGTCTACCTATCGAGTCCTTACCCAGGACCTGGGATAGGCAGATGTGGATGTTTGATGATATTACAGATATCGTCGCAGGATGGAAGCAGTTCCTAGTAAGGCTGCCTTTTGCAATTGACGAATAGCGAATTTGTCAATGCCAATGGTGTTCAAGTGGTGCTCCAGTTGTTTTGGGATTGCACCCAAGGAGCCTATTACTATTGGTACTACCCTTGCTTGCTTTTGCCACAGTCTTTCTATTTCTATTTGTAGGTTTTTGTATTTTGTTATCTTCTCCAGTTCTTTCTCGTCTATTCTGCTGTCTCCAGGCACTGCCACATCCACTATCCAGACTTTTTTTTAATATTATTATTATTATTAAGCTCGCCTTAATGAATCAAATGGAATTGACAGTATTTATACAATCGACTCAGAGCCAATTTATAGTAGTCGTTAACTCATCAGACTGGATACTGGGAGACCATGAATTCTAGTTCCGCCTTGGACTCAAAGCCACGTGGATGACCTGTGACCAGCCACTCTCTCAGCCCTAGGAAGGATGTAATGGTGAACCATTTCTGAAAAACCTTGCCAAGAAAACTTGCCAAGGGACTTGTCCAGGCAGTTTCCAAGAATTGGACACATTTGAATGGAAGAAAAAAAATCCACCAAGGCATAAACTATAGTTCACAAATTATTCTGGCTACAATTGTGTAAAACCAAACCACACTGTAGACATATTCATATTTCTCAGAAACAATTTTAACCAGAATGGTACAAAAGTATGTGCAAGTTTTGAGAGGGCAATGTTAAAAAAACAATGAAGCAGAAAATAGCAGAAAATCTAAAACAATGGTATCTCATTCACTTTCTAGCCCATCTCAAATGATTATTATAAAACGAGAGAAAGAGAATCAGCTATACTGTCCGTCACTTCTTTAAGGAAGTGATAATTAAGAATTGATGTCCCAGGAAAACAGACTCCCCCAAAATAGGTTATAAATTAATTAACATTATGCAGACTATCATCCTTAGTATAATTAATAAATTATTATAAATTTTATATACATATAAATTTATGTGGCTGCTCATCACTCATAGGTGACTCTGGGTGGCAAGCAATTAAACAAGGAATAATGTTTAAAAATAACAAACAGCATTAAAAGCAACATGGAAAACATTACAAGCATTAAATATATTGCCTTGGAAGAATTAATTTTCCTTTCCAGAGGCAAGAGCCTAGAATGGCGTCCATGAGGAAAGAATTATTTCTACTTCTTCTCATCTGTGATTTGAGAATAGGCCTGAATTGCTGTAATTTTGATCAGCTTGACTTAACTGAGACTACTATCTTATTACTTAAGGGGGACTGTACTTAAGCATCAACTTTGATACCCTTTTGATGAATTGGAAAATCCCAGTTTTCCTACCATTTCCTTGCTCATAGTAAAAATTCAAATCAAAAACTTTTGTTATGACCATACAACTGAAAATGTGCCCCTTGCTGTTTGCTGATTCCCAGAATGTCAGTGTTCTGTATTGAGATGCTGCTCTGATAGCATTAAATCTGTCTCTGATGTCCCAAAGGTGCTTTTTCACAAGGCAACTGGACTTTATTTTTCTTTGAAGACATTTCGCTTCTCATCCAAGAAGCTCATCCAAGAAGAAATACTTCTTGAGCTGAAGAAGCTTCTTGGGTGAGAAGCAAAACATCTTCAAAGAAAAACAAGAAAGTCTAGTTGCCTCCTGAAAAAGCACCTTTGGGATAATAACTATGACCTAGATGTCTGAGAATCTCCATAGACATCTGTCTCCAATGGTTCTGTCACATCATACAGCGCTAGCATGTAAAACATTGCAGCAGTGAAGTTTCCTTTTGCTTCTGGTCA